AACCAGCTACTTTCTGAGCAGATGTGAGGTCCAGTTCTGAAAAGGAATTCACATCAGGATCTGTAAACCTGGACAGAGCCTGTGGCCAAGGGGTCAGAGCCCTAATGGAGAAGCTATCACATTTGCTCTGCTAAATGGACAAGATGTGCCTGTCAGACTGCTTTCTAAATAATGTCTCTGCCCACAGACTAATGTTGCTGTCAGTTCTGGTCAGTGGCGACTCTTTTTGCAGTGGGCAGCAGTAATAGCCTAGACTCACAGTTAGTCCAAGTGCTGAGAGCAAGTGACTGTTGAAGCTGAGCCACAAGAGACCTCTGTACCACCCACTCTAAAGGTGAGAGAATATGGAAGGAGAGGGAACAGAAGGAATGTGAGAGCCATATGAAGGGGTGACACCTTGTGGAGACGTGTCTTCAAGACACGGCATGGCCATTATAGTCCAACTCAGGGCAGCTATGATTATCTACTAAAAACCTGCACAAGACTGAGCCCATTAACATCATTTCATGGGAGGTAGGAGCTGACAAGAACCATTCTCTGGGGGGCTGGAGAGATGGCTCAGCAGTTAAAAGAACTGTCTGCTCTTCTAGAAGACCAGAATTTGATTCTTAGTACCCACACAGTGGCTTACAACCATCTGAAACTCCAATTCTAGGGGAATCGGACGTTCTCTTCTGGCCTCCTCCAGTATCAAGCATATAATTAGTGCATAGCCATAGATGCAGGCAAAACATCCATCCACAAAAAGGTTGTTTTTGGTTTTTTTGGTTTCTCTGTATAGCTTTGGAGCCTGTCCTGGAACTAACAGAGATCTGCCTGCCTCTGCCTTCCCAGTGCTGGGATTAAAGGCGTTTGATTTCAAGGACAGCCTGGTCTACCTAGTGACAGGTCAGCCAGGGCTATATAGAGGGATCTTGTCTCCAAAAAGCAAAACAAACAAAAAAGAAACTGGAGTGTAAAGAAATAAGATATGGTCGGGAGGTGGTGGCACTCGTCTTTGATCCCAGCACTGGAGAGGCAGAGGCAGGTGGGTCTGTGAGTTCAAAAGAAATAAGGAATCGTCCCTATGATACATCATTTTAGTTCAAATTAAATGAAGTTGCAAGCTTTTGTAGGTCAAAACAAGTACTGGTCATTTTCCATGGCTCCATGACTAAAGTCTGGATTTCTGACATTAGATGAATTTTAATCATGAAGTAAATATATTCCTCATGTAGCTAGAGTTTCTTAGTAAACTCTAGCATATATAATTAATTATAGGGGGATTTCTAGTTCTTAGCATTAAATATTTTTATGCTTATAGTTCAGCTTTATATTACACATTCGATTTGAGATGACAGCGTTCTCTGGTGATGTGTGATAGCAAACAGTAAAAAAGATAAAGGCTTTCCACATTTCGGCAGCTATCTAAAAGAAAATGTCATCCCCTCTCTAACAAAATATATGAATGCAAAAATGAGAATAAAGAAAGAAAAATCAGAAAGTTTTATATTATACATCACCTTTTCAAGGCCATTCCCATCTAGAATTGCTTTAGTTTGCCAGGGCCAATAAAAAGAAGTCACAAAATCGCCTTTAGCCAAATGTGTGTGCTTGCTCTCTTCTATAATTCCAATACCTCCACCATCAGCCACCTGAGACAGCTGCCAGGGTGCTAGGTAATCAGTTCCGGTGTCTTCATTCATCTTACAGCGCTGAGAAAAGAAAGCCTTCATTAAGGGAAGCTGACGAAAAGCGTGTAAGTCTCCCTTGCTCTATCCCTTTCATTTTTTTTTCTTTATTTTGCAAAAATTGGGGAAACCATGTGCCTAGCTCTTACCAGTAAAAAAATAGAACTGAAAAGAAATTCAGATCTGTTCTAATTAGACTGTGGAAATTAAAACAGTATGATACTGGCATAAAGAAAGACACATAAATAAGACCATTGAGATGGTTCAGCAGGTAAAGGCACCGGTCACCAAGCCCATCTGACAACCTGAGTTCAATCCCCAGGACCCACAAGATGGAAGGAGGAAAGAACCAACTCTCTGAAGTTGTCCTCTGGCCTCCACATGTGAGCCATGGCAGTCATGCATGAGCACGTGCAATCATGCACAAAACCACATACACAGAAATGTAATTTTAAAAAATTTAAAAATGAGTGGAATTCATGAAAGAAACCATCTAAGGCCCAGCTCTTCCTCGGGAGCTTTAACGATTCACGTTGGGTGCAGCAGTGTGTGCTTGCAATCTCAGCACTGTGGGGCTGGGGGTGCCAAGCAGATCCTGGGGGCCTGCTTACCAGCCAGTCAGTAAAAGCCTGAACCCACATAAAGGTGGAAGGGGAGAACTGGCTATAGTTGTCCTCTGGCCTCCACATGTGTGCCACAGCCCATGCGTGTGCATACACATGCTGATTTAAAAAGTAAGGTGGGACTGGAGAGATGGCTCCGTGGTTATCGGTAATACAAACTGTTTACAAACTCAAAGATGGAAGGAAAAACACTCCAGTTTATGTTATAAGGCTGGTGAGACGGCTCCACAGGTAACAGAGCTTGCTGACAAGCCTGACAACCTAAGATGGGTCCTCGGGACTCGAATGGAAAAAGGAGAGGATAGACTCCTGCAAGCTGGGCCAACTCACATGCACACACACACAAATAATACAGTAAACATTTTAAACAAACAAAAAAACAGAATTGGCAGGTGGTGGTGGTGGCGGCGGCGACCGCCTCTGATCCCAGCATTTGAGAGGAAGAGGCAGGCAGATCTCTAAGGTTGAAGCCAGCCTAGTCTACAACACAAGATCCACGATAGCCAGGGATTCTATACAGAAAAACCATGTCTTGAAAAACCAAAATAAACAAACCTTTCAAAACAACAACAAACAAACAAACACAGAACTAATTGGAAGATTCATGCCTGCTACTTTCCAAACTTACTGCAGTCATAATAATCAAGGCACATTTGCATAAACACACTTACTAATGGGAGAAAACTTGAGTCTAGAAATAAACTCTCACTTACAGTCAACTGATTTACAACTTGTTTATTTTTTAGACAAAGTCTCACTGTAGCTCAGGCTAGCCACAAACTTGCAGTGACCTTCCTGCCTCCACTTTCCAAGTGCTGGGGTGCAGGGATGAGCCACCATGCCCAGCTCGTGGTCAGCTGGTTTTCAACAAAGGTACTGAGCAAAGCAGTCTTTTCAACAAATGATATTTACACAGTTGCACATATACCTGCAAAAGACTGAAGCCGAACCCTGTGATGATACATCCAGGGTGTCAGTGGGGTTGTAGTTCAATGGTAGAGTGCTTGCCTAACATCAAAGGCCTAGGTTCACTCCCCAGTACTACAAAAAAGAAAGAAAAAAAGAAAAGGAAGAAAGAAAAAGACTTAATTTTAGATGTCTGTCTTACTAGATTGAGATGCTTACTTGAGATGTCTCTGAGCATGTCTGTAAGGGTGTTTTCTAGGAATGTGGACATGAACTGGTGGGCTCAGTGGACTAGCTCTCCCCACAAGGCACCATCTAGTCAGGTGTCAGGAGCTGGAGGAAAAAAACAAAACTTGGAATATGGAAGAGTCCAGTCCTCCTCTGGAGTGGATACCTTTCTTCTGCCCTTAGGCTCAAGAGATGCAAGTTCTTTGGCCTTTGGTCTCTGGGAATCACATTTCCACCAGACAAGTGCAGCAGGCTCCTAGGCTCCTAGGCTCCCAGGCTCCTAGGCCTTTGGCCTCAGAGTAAGACTTTTGTTATCTGTGTCCCTGGTTCTCAAGTCCCCTTCTGACATAGACTGAACCAGGCTACAGGCTTCTCAGTCTCTATAATTATGTTAGCTGACTGCCCTAACAAATCCCCTCTCATCTATCTATGTCTCTATAACTGTATCTGTCTCTCAGTTTCTATCTCCTTGGAGAACTGCAATACAGGCCCCTTTCTCATACCATATACAAATATTAACTCAAAAGGGGCCACACATAATTTTAGAGCTAAAACTATTAAACCTCTTAGAAGAAAAGTTAGGGTTAAATCTTCATAATGCTGGGTGAAGCAAAGCCTTAAATATGAGACCAAACATATGTGACAAAAGAAAAAGCAGTACACTGGACCTTATCAAAATGAACAATTTTCCTGTTTCAGCAAGAAGTATATTGTCGGCCCGGCAGTGGTGGCGCACGCCTTTAATCCTGGCACTCGGGAGGCAGAGCCAGGCGGATCTCTGTGAGTTCGAGGCCAGCCTAGGCTACCAAGTGAGTTCCAGGAAAAGGCGCAAAGCTACATAGAGAAACCCTGTCTCGGAAAAAAAAAGTATATTGTCATTGCAACAGAGTGCAAAGACAACCATAAAATAGGAGATTTTGTTTTGTTTGTTTTTTCAAGATAGGGTTTCTCCGTATATTAGCCCTGGCTGTCCTGGCTAGGAGATAATTCTTACAGAACAAATATGAGGTACCAGGGTTTATATCTAGAAAATAAACTCAATAGAACAGATAATTTTTTTAATTTTCCATGAAACTTGAGACATTTTTCTGTTTTTTCCCCAGATTTATTTTTTTATGTGAATGAATGCTCTGCCTGCATGTATGTGTGTGCACCATGTGTGTACCTGGTGCCTGAAAAGTTGACAAGAGAACTGAACCCTATGTAATTGGAGTTACAGACAGCTGTGAGCTACCATGTAGGTGTTGGGAATAGAATAGGGGTTCTCTGCAAGAACAGTAATTGCTCTCAACTGCTGAGCCGTCTCTTCAGCCCCAAATGATTCAATTGTAAGATGCTCATGTACTCTGGGTAGATTTTTCTTCAAAGAAGACATATAAATGGCCAATAGTCACATGGAAATATGCTCAAAATTAACCAAGAAAAAGAAAAAAAAAAACCCACGTGAGAGATTCTTCACACCAAGTATATGTCCGTGTTAAAAAGACAGTATTAAGATGGGTGTGGTGGCCAGAGTTCAAGGCCAGCCTGGTCTACAAAGCAAGTTCCAGAACAGTCAGGGTTACACAGAGAAACAAAGGAGGAGGAGGAGGAAGAGGAGGAGGAAGAGAACAACAAAAGGCATGATTTCTCAAATATTTATTAGTCCTACAGAAAGCATAATAAAATTCAGTTGCAACAACACTAAAATACAAGAACAGAACTATTTTCATCAACTTACAACACCCTGTTTCTTACCATGTAGGGATCCACAGAGAGATAGAGAGTTCTGACTCGAACTTGTCCTTCATTGATATTATCTGGCAAACTGACTTCTTCCATCCTGAAATTCTCTGCCACTGGATTACCATTTTTCCCTAAAATTTCAAGCAAAAATTAAGTTAACACATTGCTTCCCCCGGCCAGACAGTCTCACTACGTAGCCTTGGCTGAGTTCTCCAACTCAAGAGAGATCAACTTGCCTCTGCCTCCCATGCTGGGATTAAAGGTACACACCACCATGCCTAGAAGAAAGTTACTTTCTCATACATTTATTATTTTCTAAATGTTACCCTAGGATTTAAAGTACTCCCTTTTAATTCAAGCAAGAGTAACTCAGCATATTTTTTTTTAATTCTCATCATTCTTGATCATCATCATCAGAAATACTCTTGTAAACTAATTTTGTTTTTAAAAAAGTGATTATAGGTAAATAATATGTTCTGTTTCAAAATGATAGGAAGACTGTGAAAATGAAAAATCCCACTCTCTTGTGTGGTCAGATGGGGGGGCACCCTTTTAATCTCAGCACTCAGGAGGCAGAGGCAGTGAATTTGAGGATAGTATAGTCTATATGGTGAGTTCCAGGCCATCCAGCGCTACACAATAAGACCTTCTCTTTAGGGGCTGGAGAGATGGCTCAGTGGTTAAGAGCACTGACTGCTCTTCCAGAGGTCCTGGGTTCAAGTCCCAGCACCCACATGGCAGCTCACAACTGTCTGTAACTCAAGATCTGATATCCTCACACAGTCATACATGCAGCAAAACACCAATGCAAATAAAAATTTAAAAAAAAAGACCTTCTCTTTAAAAAAAAAAAAACAGGAAGGGTGGGGGGATAGAAGGCTAGGGGCCAGGGGTGGGACAAGAAGATGACCAGGGAAGAGCATCTGCTGATCTTCCAGGGGTCTGAGGTTTGATTCCCAATACCTACACAGCCCCTAACATCTTTAACTCCAGTCCCAGGGGATCCATTGCCCTCTTCTGGCCTCCATGGGCACTACATGCACATGGTACACAGACAGACATGTGGGTAAAACCCCTATTCACATAAAATAAAAATAAATTATCCAGAAATAAAAAATGAACTCAACTTTTTTCTTTTAATTATGGAGTTAAAATTGACAAAGTAACAGAAAAGCCAAAATAAATTTACATAATCTTCCATCTTCATCTTAAGAAACAAGCAGAGGCTTACATGGACATTTACTATTTTGTTTTTATAGTCTTTATAAAGTAACTAGAAATCTTGAGGTGTAAGAAAAATGCTTAAGCAGAAGTAATCAGCACTGAAGTGTATTCATCTTGAATTATGCTGAACAAGAGCAAACTTCTTTTCCAGAACCATCAGATTTCCAAGGTGGGGTCCAATGTAAAGGTGTTAAGCCAACTGTTCATGTACTAAAACCGAGGGCAGAAAACACGGCAGGCGAGCAACAAAACAAGGCCACACTTCATGGATTATTTCCACACCTACGTTTCTATGACCAGGTAGATATCAGTATTGACATAAGATGGTGAATGTCACATAAAACAGAAAAGCAAATGTTAACAATCAGTTATACCTACCACAAGGGAAAAAAAAACCAAAATTATATATATACTTCAATATAACCTTTCAAATGCAATGATTCAAATGGCCTTAAAAAGTTAACATCTGAAAACTGAATATGACATTAAGAAGTTTAATCTAATACATTTACTAGTTTTTTTGGGGTTTTATTTTTATTTATTTTGGGGGGATCAGGGCTTCTCTGTGCAGACCTGGCTATCATGGAACTTGCTCTATAGACTAGGTTGGTCTCAAACTTAGAGATCTGAAAGGTACTAGTCTTAATTTACTTTACTACCTTAGTTTACCAAACTAGTATCATGTTAGCTTTTATTCTTACATTTCCAGTAATAATTACCAAAGACCACAATTGTTCATTTATCACAGAATACATACCAGGCCGGGAATTCAATACCACTCTTTGTATAATCATCACTCTATTTGTGCAGTGGTCTCACAAGACTTCTATAGAAAATAATTCCTATAATTATAAAAAAAAATCATTAGAAAGATATGAAGTATTCAATTAAAACAAATTTAAAACTCGGAGTTCAAGGCCAGCCTGGTCTACAAAGTGAGTTCCAGGACAGTCAAGGCTGTTACACAGAGACACCTTGTCTCCAAAAACCAAGGAAAGAAAAATTTAAAACTCTATTTGTGCTTCTGAATGGAGAGAAAAACTGTATTTAAAATCTAAAAAAGAGCTGGAGAGATGGCTCAGTGGTTAAGAGCATTGGCTGCTCTTCCAGAGGACCCAAGGTTGTTCAGTTCCCAGCACCACCAGGCAGCTCACAACTTCAGTACTGGGGGTATGACGCCCTCTTCTGTTCTCCTCAGGCACTGCAGGCATGTGGTGTACAGACACACACACAGGCAAACACCAAGACACATGAACTGAAAAGAGCAGAAACTAAAACCATATATAATACTCTCCCATCAGCTTGCTTCCTAACGTAAACATATGGAGAGAAACAACTAAGTCCAGTTAGAATTCTTAGCTAACAGGATCAAGTTCACTGAAGACTGAAAGAGGAGGGGAGGGTTGGGGATTTAGCTCAGTGGTAGCCCTGGGTTCGATCCTCAGCTACAAAAAAAAAAAAAGAAAAGAAAGAAAGAAAGAAAAAAAAGAAAGAGGAGGGGGGGAAAGCTTGGATGATTCTGAGACATCTGTCTTCATGCCATCAGGATTAAGTATCTTACTAAGGCTTGATTACAAACAAACATACAACAACAACAAAAAACCATTTCATGTTCCTCCAGAATTAGGCAGTTAAGCTATAACTATAAAAAGCAGCACCCTAGGAACTGGACACGCAGCTCAGCAGTAAAGCACTTGCCTAACATGCACAACCAGACTGGGATCCCAAATATCACAAAGCAAACTAAAAACTTAACTGCTTGGGCCAGCAAGATGGCTCTGTGGGTAAAGGCGCCTGATGCCAAGCTTAAGGACCTGAATTTGATCTCCAGGACCCACATGACTTCCAGAAGTTACTCTTTGATCTCCACATGTGCCATGGCATGCACATAGCCCTGACACCCACACAAAATAAATTTAAAAAAAATTTTTTTTAAACATCTGTTTAGCTGGACATAATGGTACACACCTTTAATCCCAGCACTTGGGAGGCAGAGGCAGGCAGATCTCCAGGTTCAAGGCCAGCCTGGTCTACAGTGTGAGTTCCAGGACAACCAGGGCTACAGAGAGAAACCCTGTCTCAAACAAATAAGCAAAAACACAACAAAAAACAACCCTCTCCAACTGTAATTCAACCAATTTTTGGAAGGTTCTTTTGTGCATGTGTTCTGAGAATGTATGTAGATGTACACATGTACAGATGTGTGTGGGTTGTGCATGTGGTTCTGAGTGTGTATGTAGATGTACATGTGTGCAGATGTGTGTGGGAGCCAGAGCTTAACCTCAGGTGTTGTTTCCTGGATGTCATTCCCCTTGTTCACTGAGACAGAGTCTCTTCATGGGTATACAGCTCATCCATAGCTGCAGGCTGCCAACGGAACCCCAGAAATCCACCTTCTAGCTTTCTTTTTCTCATGGGTTTGGAGTTGTTTGTTGTTGTTTTATATTTTTATTTGGGGGTCGGGGGAAGACATGTATACTGTGTTGTCCATGTGGTGGTCAGAGGACAATTTCCAAGAGTCGGTCTTCTTCTTGCACCAAAGTGTCAGGACTAGAGACATGGCTCGCTCAGTTAAGAGCACTTGCTGCTCTTAACAGGACATGAGTTCACTTCCTAACATCTACATGGTGGCTCACAACTATGTAACTCCAGTTCCAGAGGATCCAGTACCCTCTTGCGGCCTCCTTGGGCACGAGACAGGCACTTAATGCACATACATGCAGGCAAACACTCATACACATAGCACATTTTTAAAAACGTGTTTAGGACTGGAGATACAGTTTAGGGGTAGAGCACTTCCTGGCATGTATGAGGTCCTAGGCCTGAAACCCAGGACTCAAAGAGAAAAAAGCACTACATGTCTGAAGTTGGTAATGTTCAGTAAGATAGGATGATGAACACAGAAACTCACACTAGTCCTTTCGTTTCTCTAATGTGCACACTGGTCATCTCACTAGTGGTGGCAGAAATAGCTAGCTACTCTCAAATTCACTCCTTCCTTTGGGATACACTTCCTCAGGATAAAATAATCTCCAGCTTTCCCTTAAAGCAAATCCCATTATCGTCCCGTTTCACTCAAAAATCCTTCAGTTACAAGCAACTTAAGCACTGTGCCATTATTAACAGAATCAGCAGCACAGGTAACGGATTACCCCCTAACATCTAGTGCTCAAACTGCCCAAACGCCTGGTGGATGTTTTCACAGCTGATGACCACTGCATCTGGGGTCCTCGCTCCTTTGTACCTCACCCATTGTCGCTCTGTTCCTTCACTCTTTTGTCTGGAGAACGTCCTGACTGGTTCCTCAGCGTTATGAGACTTTTTCTCCTAGTTTCTCCTCTTAGTTGAAGGTGACAGGTAGATTTAGAGGCCTGAAGAGATTCATTTTTCTCCCTTCCCACCCCACCCCCGACTACTAGGGATTGTAACCCAGATCCTGGCACACGGAAGGCAAGTGCTTTCAGTCTTTTTTTGGGGGGAGGAGGGAGTGAGGGTGGAAGCAGGAATCTTTCAAGGTGGTGATATCTTATTTCATCACATCATTTAGTCCGTGGGGAACTTTTTTTTTTTTTGAGATGGGGCTGCTACGTACTCAGATTCCAGAGTTGAGTCCAGTGCTTCCCTTGTCCCCACCTCCTAACTATATGTGACTACAAGTACCTTTCATCACACCCAGCCAGGCACATTTCTACGGAATCACCATGTACAGGAATCACATAAAAATTAAAAAGAAAGTTTATTCCAATACAGTTGGTCAGACTGTCCTTGGTTATTAAGTGTACTGTGATGGCTGAATTTTCAAAGGAGTGTTTCCAAGTCACCTCAGTGTCTTTTCCTGTTGCTGTGATGAAATACCCTGACAGAAGACACTTTAGGGAGAAAGCGTTTTTTCTGCCTCCCGGTTCAAGGGCACAGTCCACTGTGGAGAAGTCCTAGCAGACGCCTGAGGCAGCTGGTCCCAAGACACCCACAGTCAAGAACCAGGGACAGTGAATGCTGGTGCCCAACTAGCTTTGTCCTTTTTATTCACTCCAGGACCCAAACACAGGAAATGGTGCCAACCTTAGGGGAGTCTTCCTACCTCAATGAACTTCAATGCAAGCTAATTCCTCACAGGGATGTCTTGAAGCTTGTCTACTCAGTGACTCCGGATCCTGTCAAGTTGACCATCACACAGTCAAGTTTTCTGTTGTTCTCTACTTTCAGCATTATGCTTTATTTGTCTAAAATATGCGTAATAGAGCCTACAGTGATACCTCCCACCTGTAATCCCAGCACCTGGGAGGCAGAGGCAAGAGAACTGAGTTCAAAGCCAGCCACGACTACATAAATTCAAGGCCAGACTGGGCTACAAGAGACCCTGTCAAAAAAACAACGTAACAGCCGAGTGGTGGTGGTACATGCCTTTAATCCCGGCACTCGGGAGGCAGAGCCAGGCGGATCTCTGTGAGTTCAAGGCCAGCCTGGTCTACAGAGCAAGATCCAGGCCGGGCCCCAAACTACACAGAGAAACCCTGTCTCGAAAAAACAAAAAGACAAAACAAAACAAAAAACAACATAACCTAGTATAATATAACCAGCATAGTCCTGTAATCCCAGGACTCCAGAGGCTGAGGCCTGAGGATCTGAAGTAGAAGACCCCCTAAACTACATGGGAGATCCTATCTACAAAATAAAAAATAAAAATCTATGATTTGGCACATAGCTCAGTGGTGAAGTATCTCCGAACTTATGCAGACCAGTCTGCTAACACTGCACCACAAACAGAAATGACTAAATAAACACTGCTTGTCATCATGAAAAGGGTGCTACTATAGTTCCTTCTTTTTGTTTTAAATCAGAAGTCTTCACGTGCCAAATACAAGTAATTAATGAAGGATAACTGCAATCTCTCTCAACAGCGTAACAACCAACACACTCAAATTATACAAGAAACTTTGATTTACTCACAAAATTTCCATCTAAAATAAGACAGACCAAATTCAAGACGTGAAGGGCAGTGGGTGAAAAGTCATAGGTGGAGGTGGGTGGGGTAAACCTCAGCAAATCCCATTTGTCTGTTAAATTAAGTGCGTTTGTAACTGGTGTTACTATTCCAAAATAATACCACAAAAAGATCTGGTTAGTCATAAAAAAATGTCGAGTGTCTACGTAGCCACCTAATGTCAGGAAAAGCTCTCTGAATTCACAAGAGCAGAGCACACGTTGTTTCCCGCCAAGTGGGACCTTGGAAAAGTCTCAGCTTAGTTCCTGAATGTTTCCAGGTGTCCCAAAACCGGGTGAGTGAGTTTTGCCTGCTCTGGACATGCTAAGTGTACATTTGCAATCCCAGTTAGTGGGTAGACTTGGGATGGCAAGTTCAAGGCCAGCCTGGGCAAATTCGTGAGAACCTGTCTCAAAATAAAAAACAAACTGGAGATACAGCCCAGTAGTAAAAAACACTTGCTTAGCATGTATGGGGGGCGGGGGGGGGGGAAGGGGGCCTGGGTTCAATCCCCAGTTCAGAAAAGAATAAATTATTAATTTGCTTGCTTAAATACAACTCCCTCCTCAAACACCGCCACGATGAAGTTGAAAATGTCGTCTCCTCTGCCAGAAGCCGAAAGGAGGCCGAATGACCTGCCCAAGGTCGCACAACTTGGCGCTCACCCTTTGAAGCCATGCTAACACACACCATTTTACAACATGAGCGTCCCAGTACGACGCTGTGGGATCGAACCCAGGCCCGACACCTTTCAGTGAAATATGCCTTGTGTTTAGCCGGATTTTGTCCAACCATTCTGCCCCAGAGGCCCCAGGTGACCCTCCCTCTCTGCCCTCCCTGCCATCATGTGGGAATTCCTACACGGTTCTTCCCTCCTCCCTCGGAAACCAATCTCCCTCTGTAGCTCTGACTACCAACCACCTTCACAGAAATTAATCGGCTGACCAGAATTTGGAGCCGACTGGTGCTAGATCCTCAGCACCAAGAGCTTTTTTTGTTTGTTTGTTTGACATGATTTAAGTATATCCCTTATGCGTGGCACACAGTCGGTGCTCAATAGATGGTCAAACCATCATGCCCAACTGCATGCCGTTCACCCTCACAGCTCTTAAGAGCGAAGAGCACCTGCTGGCTGGGCACTCCCTAGTCTAGAGTCCCAGGCTATACCGCCGGTGTCTCCCGGAGCTCGGCGAGGACGCCCGCAGGTCACCCCGGTGCGGAGCTGACTCCTCGACCGGCTTCTAGCAGCTTCCGATGCCCGGATGCACTGACTCCCCCACCCCCTGCGCGTCTACCCGCTTGAGATCTCGCGGGATTGGATGAACCGCAAGGGGCCGGCAGGCGGCTGGACCTTGGCCCCCCAGAACCACACTACGCAAGCGCAGGACTAAGCCCGGCTCCGCCCCCCCTCCGGAGGGCGGGGCTTTGAAGTTCAGACCGGACCCCCCTGGACCCCCGAGGTCGGTGAGAAGTGGCTGGAATACGTGATGGGTGGCTTGTCTAGGTCAGGAGTTCACAGAAATGAACGCCCGGTGGTGGTCCGCGGCCGCCCCCGCCGCCCGGACCCGGAGAGTTCACATCCAGTGAGTTCCCGTCAGGTCCCGGGTGTCCTCCTCGGCTCCCCCCAGACGCGAACCCACGCCCTGGCTCGGTCTGCACCGGCGCTCTGACTCTGGCGCTCCACAGCCCCAGCCCCAAGGAGGAATTTTGCTCATGTTGTACTCACGGCGTCTTAGGCTGGGAACTTACCGTGAGACAGGTACCATCCAGCCTAACCCTTGTTTTGTAGGTGGGGAAACTAGAGCAGGGGTTCTCAACCTTCCTAAAGCTGCGACCCTTTAATGCAGTTCTTCATGTTCTGGGGACCCCTAACCATAAAATTATTTTGTTGCCACTTAACGACTGTAACTTTGCCACTGTTATGAATTGTAATGTAAATATCTGTTTTGTTTTGTTTTTTTTTCGTTTTGATTGGCCTCCCAAAGGGGTCGTGAGCCATAAGTTGGGGAAACACTGGACTCGTCCTTAGAGGATATGATGTCTACCCTAGAGAATATGATGTCTACCTTGAAGCTAGGTAAAGATAGCGCTGGAGTTATAAGCTCTCTCTGGACTGCTGGCCCAGGGACCTTTAGTCTTTTTATGTGCACACATACACACACACACACACACACACACACACACACACACATTCCAAATTGGTTAAAAATGGTTTAGAATGTGTATTGATTTCTTAGTTTAATCATTAAGCTCCTTTTTCATAAACTGGACTGGATTGAGCAAGGCTTGTTTCTAGGATAATTTTGGATCTCCAGGAGCTACAAACCCTAAAAGACTGTTCTGAATTAGGCGGCTGTAGAAATCACTGTTAACACTGTATCCCAGCAAGAGCTAATGACGCAGCACTAACCCTGGAATAGCATAAGAGTAGTGGAAGCCGGTCGGTGGTGATGCATGCTTTTAATCCCTGTGAGTTAATCTCTCTGAGATCGAGGCCAGCCTGGTCTACAGAGAGAGTTCCAGGACAGCCAAGGTTACACAGAGAAATCTGTCTTGAAAAACCAACCAAACAAACAAGTTGAATAGCTGAAAAATGAGTACCGACCATCGAATGGGCAGCCATGAAACCGAACTGGAGACCCTGGTAGCAAGCACATCCAAACATTTTCAGTTCCTTTGAAAAACCTCAGGAAAGGGCTAGGAGAATGTGACCACTTTACAAATACCTTCTGGCAGGACCTGATCTCTTAGTGGTCAGATGAGTGAAACATAGAAAAAGGAAATGCTCCAATAGAATAAAATTGATGGTAGAAAATAAAGGTAGTCTATAGTTTAGGTCTAAAATTCAAAGTGAAGAAACTTGGTTTGGGGTTTTTTGATGTGAGGTCCCCTCTTCTCCTTAAAATGAGTTCTAGGTCCCAGCAGTTCAAAACTGAATGGAGGAGTTCAGGAATATTTTCATTTGTTTTTTCCCCCTTCTAGATTGTCTCTTAACACTAAGGATTACTATCGTTTGTGTGGTGCTTAACTTGAACTATACCGTGCGTTCCATGATTTGTTCCTTTATATGATTTAATTTTCATGCGTTTTGTTTTGTTTTGTTTTGCATCAGGGTGCCTCTGCATACACCTGGCTGGCTGTCCTGGAACTCATTATGTAAACCAGGCTGGCTTCTAACACACAGAGATGCACCTGCCTCTTCCTTCTGAGTGCTGAGATTAAATGTGTGGGCCACCACTGCTGGCTTTGATTTTATTTTCAAGGTTACTGTAGTCATTTCCATTTCACTAATGTGGAAATGGTGGTTATCACTAAGTAACTAATAAGGAAAGAAACAAGTCCCCGAATGAGACCAAATACCTAATTCTTTTTTTCTACATTTGCTGGGAGTTTGGAATTCCCTTTTCTTCCTTCTCTGTAGATCTCTGTGCTACCTCTCATCATTTAACCAGTTCCAGAGGTTAAATGTTTTCCAGACTTAACGAAAGGCACGTGTCAACACTTCTCACCTCAACCTACTGTAAAGTCACTGTGATGTGTATTGTGTCACTCAGGCATCCCTAATAAACAGACATCTAATCTGATGTGTTTATACACTCATTCACTAAATGGTTTTTTAAAATTAAAATGACTTCATTTGACTTCCTGTGTCGTCGTCTCTTTCAGACTGCAGATTACTTAGGAGAAAGAATTAAAGTGTGTCCAACCCGCTCAAGACAGCACTCCATGCATCAGAGATAATTTGATGCTAAATAAATACATTTTCATGGCAGTGATAATTGCTCCTAATGACACAAATGCAAACCCAAACATATGTTCTAGAGAAGTAGCACAATCAAGTAGGAGACAAAAGCCACACCTGTCTCTCCATTCGTCTGTGACACAGTGGAGGACCGTGTATTACTGCTGCCTCTGCTTTTCTCTGCCTCCCAGAGCCTTTAGATTAGACCTGGCCTGCAAGGTACTTGATGAATGTCGGTCGTATATTATTCATAAGAGCTATGTCAAACAATTATATGCTACTAGCTGGGAGGAAATGGTTCAGTGGTTAAAGTACTGGCCATGTAAGTGTGAGGACCGGTGTTCAGATCCCCAGAACTCAGAGAAATGCCAGGTAGGCTTAGCAGGAAAGACAGGATCCCCAGAGCAAATTTAGGTTGAGAGATCCTCGTTCCATGAATAAGGTTAAAAAGAAAGGACAATTCCTAACATCAACCTTGGGCCACCAACACACATATGTGCCCACACCAAAACAACAAAAAGTAGGAAAAAGGAAAAACTGCATATGCGTGCTAGAGAGCTCAGCACGCTCGCACACTCTGTAATCCCGGCGTTCTGGAAGCTGAAGCAGGACAATTGCAAGTTTGAAGCAACTGAGAGCTATAAAATGAGACCTTGTCTCTAACAGAAAATCCTAGAGATAATGTTTTATTTTTAATGGAGATATAATTCCCATATCAAAACCCAACACTTATTTTATATGTTTGAGTGTCTTGCCTGCATGTATGCACATACACCAGAGGCGTACATGATGCCCTTGAAGGTCAGATGAGGGCATTGGATCCCCTGGGACTAGAGTTATGGATGGTTGTGAACCACTGTGTGGGTGCTGGGAACCAATCCTAAGTCCTCTGTAAGAGCAACAGATGCCTTTCACTGCTGAGCCAGCTCTCCAGCACCAATTCTACATATTATACAATCTAGCAACTTTTAGAATATTCAAATGCTGTGTCACTATCCACATTTTCTGAGTCTGTAATTTTTTTTTAATCATTCTCTACCTATTAGCAAGTACCTTTTCCAGCTCCTACTAACCGTTAATCTACTTTCTGTCTGCATGGATTTGCTTTATACATTATCATAAATTATTATTATAAAAGATTTTACATTATCTTTTATTATTGCATGAACTTAGTACCGTAGCTGAAAAAATGATGTAATACAATTCTGAATTCATCCTTAAGTGTGTACAGTATTGGCCAAATTGAGCATTTAGGAAAAAAATTTGTTTTAAAAGTTTTTTTATTTTTATTTTATGTATTGGATCCTCTGGGGCTAGAGTTGCAGACAGTTGTGAGCCATCTGATGTGGATACTGGGAACCAAACTGCAGTCCTCCAAAAGAGTATGAAGTCTCCTTACTGCTGAGTCACCTCTGCAGCCCCAGAAAATTGTGTTTTTGTTTGTTTGGTCTTGTTTTTGGAAGCAGGGTCTCACTGTGTAGCCCTGGCTGTCCTGTGACTCACTGTGCAGACCAGACTGGCCTCAAAGTCACGGTAATCTTCCTGCCTCTAGGAAAAATAATCTCTGTCAGGGGTGCCCTAGAGACGGAAAGCATGCTGTAAGTAGAAGTTGAATGTGCTGGCTGTTTACTAGGAAATGCCTTCAAGATCCACGGAAGGAAGGAAAAAAGGGCTAGGAGAAGGTGGCGGTGAAATCCACAGGAAGTCAGCTGTAGGATCTTAGAATTGCCTCCTGTTGGACCGGAAATCTCCCCAGTTGCCTTCAGTGAAAGTCATTACCTGTAAGGAATCTGATCATTTCATACTGTAATTTTCTCTCCCATAGCTCCTAATGCAAGACTGATCTTACAGACTTTAATAAGTTCACATTCCCATGTTATTCATAAAAGTATTTTCACTTCTTCTTTCACTTCTGCTAGTAAAATTCAGTTTCACTAGCCTACTTTTTGCTTGGAATGTAGACTAATGGAATCCAGAACTTGACCTTAAAAATTCAAAATCTGGCCCATGCCTTTAATCCCAGCACTCGGGAGGCAGAGCCAGACAGATCTCTGAGTTCGAGGCCAGCCTGGTCTACAGATCGAGATCCAGGACAGGCTCCAAAGCTACACAGAGAAACTCTGTCTCGAAAAAACAAAACAAAACAAAAAAAAGATTGCCAATTTATGTTCCATATTTTTTTTTGAAACTAGACAGGTTCTCACTCTGTAGCTGGCTGTCCTGAAACTCACTATGTAGACCAGGCTGGCCTCAAATTCACAGAGATCTGCCTGCCTCTCTCTGTCTCCTAAGTATATGTTCTCTATTAATATCAGTTTGCCTTTGGAAACACAGTTCAAAAAAAGTGAACTTGAAAAACTCTTAAAAGGTTTGACTAGTATGCAAGTCCTGGTTTTGATATCCAGCATCACAAAAAACAAAAGGGAATAATCTTTAAAGATTGGCCATTAGGGCTGGAGAGATGGCTCAGAGGTTAAGAGCACTGACTGCTCTTCCAGAGGTCCTGAGTTCAATTCTCAGCAGCCACATGATGGCTCACAACCATCTGAAATGAGATCTGGCGCCCTCTTCTGTATACATAATAAATAAATAAATCTTTAAAAAAAAAAAAAAAAGATTGGCCATTATATTGTGTCTATTACTACATACACATCACCCTCAAACTTGGTGTCTTAAAACATGAACATTTTTCTGGGAGTTGGCACACGCCTTTAATCCCATCACTAGGGGGACAGAGGCAGGTGGATCTCTGAGTTTGAGGCCAGCCTGGGCTACAGAGTGAGTTCCAGACTACATGGAGAAACTCTGTCTCAAACGCCAAAACAAAAACAAAACCAAATCAACATTTCTTCCTGGGAGTTGGGTCAGGTATCTAGGAGTACTGTTAGCTAGATACCTCCGTTAAAGGTCTCTGCAGTCAGACTGCCCACTAGGCTGTGGTCTCAGGAGAAGACTCAGAAAGATTTGCTTCCAGGCTTTCTTACCTGGCCTTCTAGTCACAAGCTGTTAGATTAATTGGAGGTCCAGTTCCTTACTGACTTTCATCCTCCCTCAGCTCCTCTCCAGAAGACTGTGTTAGTCCAACGGGAGAGCTAGCAACTGACTAAGAACATGCATGTACTAATGCCTGCTGCTTCCCCACAGCACGTGGGAGAGGGGGTGGGGAAGGGAGAACCTGGCCAGGACAGATGCGGCAGTCTTGTACGAGCACCACATGTGCTGAGGACTGAATCCAGGTCATTGTGTGCGCTATGCATGTCCTCTATTTCTGACCTACTTCCTCAGTCTCTCTTCTGATATCTAAGGAATTTTATAACGTGTGATGTTCCATTTCCCCCATTTAATTTCCTAAATTGGACCCTGAATAAAAAGCTTTTAGGATCAATATTATATAGGGGCAGCCACAGCGTCAGTGGGGCATGGGCTTTCTTTACAGATGTTCACCCTCAGCAGTGTATGGACCCACCATAACTGTAGCCTCAGGCTAGTAGATCCAGCCCTTTGACCTCCTTTTTGGTGACCTGCCTGTGAGAAGTCACGTTGATTGACAGTCACCAAGTATGGACATGGTCCGTCCTTCTAAGTTGTACTCCCTTCAACTGCAAAAGAGCTGCCTATCTTTTTTTATTATTATTATTATTTTCCCTCTAGACAGGGTTTCTTCTCTGTGTAGCCCTGGCTGTCCTTGAACTCAGAGATTTGCCTGCCTCTGCCAGAACCTTTACACACTGAGTTGTGGGGAGGTGGGATGGGAATAGGCCCAAGTCAGAGCATCTCCCACTCCTCAGACTCAGCAGGAGCCCAGCAGTTCTTCAGGCATGAAGTCTTCTCAGGTGTTTGTTCCTCTGGTCTGTTTTCAGAACACAGATGACTGCTTAGAATAAACTTGTCCATCTTCATGGTTTTGATTCGTTTTAAGGAGTTGGATTTGCTGATCTTTTCAGTTGGTCATAGTCACAAGATTAGTTATTTTTGAATCTCAAATAATCTAGAGAAAAAGTTGAGATTTTTGGGGTGTATCCAAGCTGGGTGTAGTGGTGCACACCTTTCGTTGGGAGGCAGAGGCAGGTGGATCTCTGTGAGTTTGAGGCCAGTCTGG